CGTGCGCGTGTGTGTGTGCGCACTATGCAAATTTTGCATTTGAGGGAGAATGTGTGTGTGTGTGTGTGTGTGTGTGTGTGGGCTGTTGTATCCTTGTGTATGATTCATGGCAGTGAATATTTGTTCCTCTGGCAGCCAAGAATCATACATAGAGGCTTATCACACCCCCCCCACACACTCACACACACACCTATTCAATGTTAAGGCTCTCTGTTTTGCTCTAACACACACATCTTTCTCTGTCACATTCACACTGTCTAGGCTATTCCTCTGTAACGCAAACAAAAGGCCGCGCACAAACACACACGATAGCCTCTCACTTGCAGAAACACATTTCCACGTACACAGCGTGTAGGCACCTTTTTTTTTTTTTTTTTTTTTTTTGTCTGAGCAGATGGCACGTGTCACAATATTACAGCAGTATTTCATTAACATTATGGGCATCCATCTGTTGTGCGCTCTCAGGCCCCCACAGAGCACCTTGTTTTGGTCCCTGACAGAGAGAGAGAGGGATAATACACATTGTTAGCAGTGTATATTGTGGAGCCAGGAGAGGCCTGCATGGTCTGGTTGTGTAGTGGCAGAAGTATCAGGGCAGGTCTGTGAGAACCGTCCATCAGACTCCTGCTCTTTACCGAGCATTTTATCCAGGATTAGGCAGCTCTGTGATGACCTTGATGAATAGTAAACTGTACTTGGTAACACAGTTTACATCGTAAGTAAAACAATACAATCTCATATGATAAGTAAAACAATACAATCTCATATGACTGTTCCGATACTTTTTATTAACAAAACGTCGTCTTAAATCATTGTGGTTCCCTCCCCGTCCTGTTAGCAGGGTTGTAAGCTACATCGCCTCCAGCTATGCTTTCAAATTCTGATCTGCTAAATATGGCCCCATTTGATCTGGGGTCAGAAAATACATCCCGTTCTGATCTATGTTATTCATCTTTGAAGTATTTCAAGTAGAAGGTGAAGTGTGACGGTTATCTTGTTGCCCCAAGCAATCAGATGCCGACTACTGTAAACTAATTTCTGTAGTCTGTTTGCAACCATTAAAAAATAAAAAAAGCCCTAAAACCATTTCATAAACAACATATGTTTGACTATATACACGTGTTTACGTCACTCCACTTGTACATGGCGTGTGTTAGTACTATGTGCACAGTTACAGGAACGTTGTGTTGATTTATTTTGGCTGGATGACGATGAAAAACTAGAGTTGTGCTTCAGAAAAGTTGTAGTTTAAGATCGGGCGGAGAAGTAACGTGTCAGTTTGTAATTGAATGAAACGTGTGTCCGCTGAAGCTGTATTTTGGGTGTGTTATAAACCCATGAGGGTCGGGCACGTTATGTGCATGACACAAGAATAAAGCTATCAATCAAAAAATATATAAAAACCAGATTAAAAATGTAGTAACCATTCTGTCACCTTATGCAATATAAAGGCCGGTTACCACATGCAATGATCCTGTAAAGTAGGGAAGAGAATTTATAGTCCTTTCAAGATTACTTGAGTACTTGCATTAAATTATTATAGATAATTATTATTATATTATTATTATATTCAACTCCTAGTTCTGAATGAAATGACGAGTGACGGTTACACACAGGTCTGTTCCAAATAGTTTCAAGCTTCATTCATAACGTTTACTTTCAAATTATTATTACTATAAATAACTTACAGAAACATTGTGTGCATCAGGCCAGTCCTTCAAAATGTTTTGAGCAATTCCCAACATGTTTTTATCTTAAGAAATATTCTGCTTTTTATCCATAATTCAAAAACAGCAGTTTGACTGTTCAAAAAACGCTTTGCTCTCCGCCGTACGGTACACAATGTGGTTCGTTCATTTAAAATTGAAAGTTCTTCCTTTTCTTGCCTTCCTTTCCCTTGTCGTTGTCTTCTTCTTCTGTCTCTTTTCTCCGTCTCCTCTGTATTCCCAGCGGAACAGGTTGCCAAACCCCGGGGCTGTTGACCGAGAGAGAAAGACTTTGGTATTTTAAACGTTTGCATACTGCGCTACACAGGAAGGAAATCGGATCTAGGGCAACAACTTTACCCCCCAGGCACAAGGAGGGGGGGTAACCTGTAGGAAGACACACAGGAAAACACACTCGGTGTGTTGAGAAACCATGCGAGCACAGGGAACAGTTACTGCGGTGAGAGTTACCCGGCTGCCTGGAGCTAAGTGCCTTGTGTTGACACAGGCTCTGTGTGGCACAGACCCGTAGATCCGAGCTGTTGTTTGCCGAGTTTGGTCCGCGCCACACCGGCCGGAGTGATAATGGAAAAAGGTTATTCTGCTTTACAGGCGGAGCCGGTGTCTCCGAGTAGCGGATTGGGGCTTCTGTGTGGCGGTAATGTCAGCGCTTCTCATGACATTTGGAAGTGTAACGGCCGAGGTCACTGGGCTTGTCACTGTTTAGCGGGAATGAATGTGTGTTTTTTTAGTTCTTTTTGAATGCCCTCCTAACTGTCTGTCTTTCTCTTCCAACCCTAATGCTTCTTGTAACATAATCTAAACTACTTAATTTGATGTCCAAACCAATATAATCCCAAGAGTGTATATATAGAAGTCTTCTCAAGGAATTCACCCCCAACCCTCAACCATGTTGGAGCCAAAGCACCGCCTACTGAGCCAGACAGCAAAAAAACGAATTCAGCCTTTTGAAGTGTGCAGGTTCATTCCTGCAACCTGAAGCAATCCTGTTGCTTAGCATATTCTCTGGCCATGGTTCTGTGAATGCGAAGCCGCCTATTTGTAGTTAAAAATGAATAATGGGTTGAGCGACACGCGATGGGGAGCAGGGTACAAAGCGACAGGTCATACCTAACAGCGGCAGGCTAGCTTCCTGTAAGTGCAGCAATCAGATTTCTGATGGTGTTGTATGCCTGCTTGATCGTAGTGGGAAAATGTCGATTTTTATTATTATTTTTTTCTTTCCCCACCTGACCCATTATGCAGCTTGCTGGGAAATAATGAGATTTTGTCCCTATTTGGGTTTGATGCTTGCTGTGCTCTAACACACAACCAGGCCATCCGCAGCTGCCTGGGGAATGTAGTGTGGACAGAATTACAATAAGGGCTAATAGCAGCATCCAGGCTAGGTGACAGAGCGACGGTGTAGCTCGCTGTGCGGCGCCCAAAACAAGTCTCTCTTTTGACATGAGTGTCATTTGATTTCAGTGAACACTCAAAGTTTGGCTTAATTATGAAGTGAAATCCTGACCCTCACTAGGCTAGTGCTGTGTTACACAGGACCACATTGGACGCCATGGTATCACTACCAAAATAAGTGCTAAGCATACCTTCCCAGAGAACGTCTTCAGATGTGTTGTTTTTAATACATTAATTGACTAATTATTTAATCTGTATATCAAACCAGTCTATATTTTTTTTCAGTTTGCTCCATTCAAGTCGTTTCATTTATTTTTCTGTAATCTTGTTCCAATTTAAAAACTTTTCCGTGCCCTGTTTGCCTTGGCTTTGTTGTTGTAGCCCCATTTCTCAGTTTGTACATCCTCGATTCCTCTCCTCGCCTCCTCTCACCTGAGATACGAGCGCAGAAGGCAAAGGAGAGAGACGAGGAGAGAGGAGTCGAGGCAGCAGGCGTGTAAAAAAAACGAGACATCCGTGCTTCGGACGTGACGTCAATTAAATCTGACGTGTGGCACAGCTGCACCACCTGTTTGTTGTTTTGTTGTATTTTATGACCTGTCAGATGAGCATAACAGTGTTCATGACAACTTAAATATTTCATTTTAATTCCATTCACAATTGTGTGCGTGTGTGTGTGTGTGTGTGTGTGTGTGTGTGTGTTCCGGCTGTGTGTCACGCCTCTTTCATACGTCATGGGTGCCGATAAAGTCCTCTGCAAAGGACACACCTGTGCTCCGCTCAGAGCTCCTCCGGCAAACCTCCTCTCTCCTCAAAATGCATTGTGGGACATGAGACTCTTAAGTAGAGGCAGGAGGAGAGAGGAGACGACGAGGCACAAAATACAGAAAAGATAAAAGTGGCAGCCATTGCATTTGTTGTAGTCGTAGAAGGAAAACTACAGTCTTTGGGTGCATTGTTTGTTTTGTTTAATGTGGAAAGGTACCGTAACATTTTAACGGTAAAATGTTTTAATTGACTTTCTAGATAATATACTTTATATCACTAACACAATTGAAGTTTATATGTATAGTGATATAAGATTTGAACCACATCACCGTCCCTTACTCCACTTATGCTTCACAACAAGCACATCTCTGAGTGAACAGCTGAGTGACGGCACGATGCAGGAATTTAAGAGACTTTTTATTTGGAGCTAAATCTTACAGCTAGTAAGACAGTCTTTTGAGCTAACACCTCAAAAGACTCAATGCGGTCTCAACCAAGTTCCCGACAATAAAACTTCCAAATGTGTGTTACCGTCATTATTTTTACCAGCAAGATGTACTCCAGCGCGTAGGCTTACGTAACCCTAATTGAACGTTGGAATAACAATAAGGAATGTCGGTATAATAACACACATTGGATTATAACTTCAGTCGGCTGTTACGGCTCGCAACATATATTAGTTTGTAATGGCGGTGTGGTAATAACTCTATGGTTGCTTCTTCTGCACTGTTGAAGGATCTGCCGTAGCCAGACCAAGGACAGAAAAAGTCTGGGTTACGTCTATAGAAGGTTAAATAGGGGTGTGTCGACATCCATTCATGGCTAATTGTGTCTGCGTGTGGGTTAGGCTTGTGTGATTGAGATCTATAACAGAGTAGAGCAAACGCAGAGGTTTCAAAATCAGGCTGAAACAATGGGTATGCATGCTTCTGCTTTGGTGCCTGCACAGTTTTAGTCTTGAATCAACATTTGGCCCCTCGTGTGTGGAAACATACTCGGCAACCGGTTTCCTAGTAATGTCGCACAACTGCTTGATTTCATGTTTTTAATCATTTCTCTCCCTCTCTGACTTTATTTTTGTCTCATCTGTTTTTCTCTTTCTCTTAGGCTTCATCGCAGCAGCTGAAATTCACAACCTCTGACTCCTGTGACAGGATCAAGGATGAGTTCCAGTTCCTCCAAGCACAATACCACAGGTGCACACACACACACAAAGGAGAAGCAGTTCTTTGAAATACGTAGCATATCTCTCAGTTATACACGTATCACTTAGGGGTTTCCTTTATTGCACACATTGTTGTAATGGTAGCTACGAAGCTAAACTGCAGATTTGAGCTGCAGTATTGCTGCCATATCTTGGCCACAAATAGGTCTTAATGTGAATGTATGGCCTTGTTCAACACTTCATTTCACATAATGTTGTCACATACACTTGGAAACTGTCTCGCGTTTTATATAACAGATCTTTCCTAATCAGTTCCCTGGAAAGAAATATAGAATTTGACCCAAACTATCGGTAAAATAGACCCAGTGTTCAGTTCGTACACTTCCAATTAATGCATTCCTATTAGATGCTAAGCCACTGTTACTTTTGGTCAGTGCACAGCAGATCAGATTAACATGCAAAACGGTGCATTTGTCTACAGGCAAGCCCAACACTCCACATGTATTAGGAATGAATAGATATTTACTTTGGTTTAAATGTAGCTGGTGTTTCAATAGTTGCTTTTTAACTCCACACCACTAAAAAAACTAAAATAACAGTCTGAGAACTCTCTCTTTCTCGAAGTCTCTATTTCCTCTATATTTCTTCCCAAAAAACCTAAAAGAAGTTATTTTGGAATGATAAAAACTCTGCTGAAGATTGAGAGACACGGCAGTGAACTGTGATGAAATGAAGACGTCTACCATTGTTTCACTGTTCCTCAACTGCACCACCGAGGCAACATCCTTTTATTGACTCCTACCTAAATCAATCTCGTTTACCCTCGCCCATTGATCTTGCTTTACCACTTAAATACAGCTACAGTGCCAGCAGTCTGAGGCGCTTCCAAAGTGCCTGGTTCGACCTCAACTGATCTGTTTGATAGCTGTTTTAAAGGAGGGGGGGGGCGCCACGGGGTCTGCATCTCTGCGAGAGATCCTCTCTTTGTGAGAGGGGAGTCTTTGAAGCCCGCCTTCCTTCCTGAGGAGGTTGTTTTGTTCCTCTGTACCCAGAGCCTCTGCCGGTTACAGAGACGGGCGAAGGCAGATGAAAGCCTGACAAATTGTGTGAGCGCAAAATTCCTGCTCTGGTCTGATCGCTCTTGTTTGCGGAGGATTCAGAAGCGGCAATAACACCGCGCGCTTTTTCTCTCTCGCCTTTTGGTTTTTTGTAATTCCCACAACGATGAGCAGCACCGTTTAACCCTCTTCAGAGAGCCAGGGCGCAGTTGAAAGAATACCTTTTTTGTCTGAGCGTACAGAACATGCATACAGTGCCTATTGACTCAGGAGGGGGGCTGTGGTGGGGGGGGGCTTGGGAGACACAGACGAGGCTTTGTAGCGCTTTGCTGCTGTGCCGTGCTTGTCTGTTGCTGAAGCCTTTAAAAGGCAAATGTACCGCAGGCGATCCCCCGGGTATAGTAGCAAGCATTGTAGCTGTCGCTGTCTTCCTCTCCTCACCCCCCCGCCCCACTCCCCTCGTTCACATGCATAAATAGATCAGGGAATACATAAATCAAAATAAAGATGACAGCAGGAGCGATTTAGAGACGGAAGAATCGGCAATAAAACTCCATCAAAGTGTCGTTTGAGAGCGGCGGTGCAGGCCCGGGGGGGGGGGGGGGCTGAGCACCAATCAGAGGCAGCACAAAGCCAATCCCAGGTAGGCCTGTCGTCATGACAACCCACCAAACCAGCCTACGCGGGGATAGCAGGCAGGGTTTCATGTAGGAGGGAAGGGGAGCGTTTTTGGGATAAGTGGAGTCTGCTTATCCACCGCACAAGAATAGGTGGCAGGAGATCGACCCCAGTGATCAAGTTCGGTGTCGGTTAGCTGCCTTAGCACAAGTAAACATAATCATCTCGTAAAGTGGACTTAATGTGTTCCCATCATAGACTGTATATAAAGATGGACAGCATGACCGCTCCCCAAATGTGAAGCCAAAACATCTTGATCGCCCCCAGGTAGTAAAAGAAAAAGAAGCATCTGGTGTAGTATGATTTGAGATTGTCCAAAACTTTTTTTAATGTTTAATGCATTTAAAGATGGTTTTAAATCAGGATGAGAGCCTATGAGGCCATAGCTTGACCTCATTCAGGTTTTTAGAATGAATAAAAACAACCTCTGAGACTTTAGTGAAGGTAATTCATCACAGAACACATCGGGATGCTGATTTTAACTTTTACATAAAACTGTGTATTGAGTGAACTGAATGAGGCGTGTTTTTGGGAGGACCACGAATACTCGGTCACATTCTGGGTCATTACAGGATTTCTGTGCTCTTTTTCCGAATAAATATTTCAAAAAGTAGAAGCAAAAGTTTCTAAACTGGGTGTCACGGTGGGAGTGTCAACACGCAGCGAGTATTCCCGACAGCCTCGTCTCTTCTGAATGCAGTTTGGACGGATTGTCCCGTGAACGTGTTGCGTTGACCCACAGCGTGTCTCCTATACATGCTGAATCGGCTCCAGTCCCTCTGTGGGGACAGAACATAGATGGATTCATTAGTTCAGTGTGCTGTGAAGAGCAAATTAGACTAAATAAATACTAGCGGATAGAGGTTGACCATTTTAAGAGGTTTGGCACTCGGTGTGCTTAAGCCGTGAATGTGTGATAGACTGTGAATACACGTCTTTCATTGTAGACTACAGCAGAGATGTTTTTCCAGAAAGCAGTTCTCCACTCCATTTAAAAACTCCAAAAACCTTCCACGCATTTTTCTTTCTGGCGCTCGGGTTAGAAGAAGCTGGCTAAACTGATGACCACTTAGAACAGCGCATCGGCAATTGTAAATAAATAAGAAATATTCCAACTAAGTACTATGTAGTACATAGTTACCGATGATTACATTCTGAGGGACAAAAAACTTTACTAAAAACGGCGTATGCAAAAGTAGCCGACGTAAGTAAAGCACATCATAAAAACCTTCACTTTCATTTCTCTCTTTAAAAAAGAAGAAATACTCTCGTCTGGATCTTTTATGGTTAGTTTAATGTTCAGTTCCAGATTTATTTGTTTATTACTTTGAGCTTCAGGTTCAGTTTGAGATTCATATCGGCTATTTATTTCGGTACGCCTACATTTTAAGTTTGAATTTAATCTTTAGTGATCCAGATTTATTTATTCAGGTGTTATTACATTGACTTATATGTTCAGTTATCCAGTTTGTAGTCTTTAATGGAGTTATTCAGATTGATTATTGCTCTTTTAAATCTCAAATAAGATACTTAATTGTCATCATGTCCAATAAACAAGGATGGACGCTCAACCAAAAGCTGAAGTTAACCACAGCCAACACTGCAGCTGCTGCGATAATTACAGGAGAAGCACAATACTGTGTGTATGCGTGAGCTCACATTATTGGCCCCGTGTAACACCGTGTTCAGTCTGCCAGTTAAGACTAACAGCGACGAAGACTCAGGCGGCGCTCGCTGTAATCGAGCTGTCATTCCCGCAGACAGCTGAGAAGAACATCCCGGCATAAATATACACACACACCATCAAACAGGTTTCAGACTTATCCCCAAATCTGAAACTATCCACCGTGTGCCTTCGCATATCTTTATTTGATCTGAGTCTTATCCTGTCCTCACATCGGATGATGCCTTCTGAGACTGGCACGTCGTAACTGGCTGCTTCAGTCAAAAGGCATCGAGGGGGGATTTTTTTTCTTCTTCTTCCCCTCCTCTGTCTCTTCCATTTGACGATCTGGGTGACTTGTTGACGCGTCCTCCTTTGTCCTGTCGCCTCGCGTGACATCAGCGCTGACATGATTACAGCTAATGGCTGTCACAGGGACCGGGTCGCAAGGAAGAGCTCCCAACGCTATATTTAGACTTTTTTTTTTTTTTACTTCACTGCCTCTTCTCTGATTTAGAAAGCAGACATTTTGGCTCGAGCTCGGTTTGACCTCCTCCTGTCACGTGACACCTTGTCGAGGTCGGTGGAACCGCTGCCGCTCTGACTAGTAAAGGTGCGCATGATGACGCCACTAATGATGATGATGATGATGGGGGCGGTGATGGCGATAAAGACAATAATGGTAGCCGAGAGGATGACAATGGAGGTGGTGCTGATGATGATGATGATGAAGGTGGGAGGCAGTGATGATGAAAGTGATGACAGGGCCGTTGGTGGTGAGGATGATGAAGGGGGTGGAAGTCACCTGGTGTCAGCACTTTTGAGAGAACACTGTCGAGCTCACTAACACAGGCTGACTCTCCTCTCTCCCCAGTTTGAAGCTCGAGTGTGACAAGTTGGCCAGTGAGAAGTCAGAGATGCAGCGCCATTATATCATGGTGAGTGAAGCTGTGTGTGTGTGTGTGTGTGTGTGTTTAGCACCAGAGGTGATGGTTTGTCATATTTGATTCTGACATAAAGATGTTGATTTTTACATGCAAAGAAATGATTTACTGTTCTTGTGTTCTCACTCTGTTAATTAATACTCTTTCAAGTGAAATTGTTCTCTTATGTCTCTTTTCTTGCTGTTCATTTTTATAGCTTTGGCCATCTGTTCTTTGTACAGTACTCACTAAAATTGCATACACAAAGAAAATTGCTTCGCTCTTGGAAGGCGAAGACGCTGCTAAACACAGGAAACACGACAATCTGATATGTTTAAAGTAATGAAAGCTGTTTTTCTGCTTAAAGCTAACCCTTAACTAGTGTTGTCTCATAAAACTGAATAGTGACGTATTTTGTCATTCGATTGAGGCTTGTTGGTTAAACCTTTTTCTGTGCCATCAACATAGCAAGGAGAAACTATAAAATCGTTTATAATAACGTGAATAGATTCAGACATTCACAATGTGAATCCTGTGTGTTGCCTCGTTTAGTCCAGTGAAGTTGGTCTCAACAGTTAACTCGGCTAGGACAATTTGTTCCTTCAGTTTTCAATACTTGCTTTTATTTTTAATTCAATTAAATTCTACTGTGTTAATGTTATACACCAGAGAAGATCCCTTGCATGTGGAAACCTACTTGATAAAACTGATTGTGACAATGATAACATAACCAATGTTAGCCAGAGATACGGCCATAGTTGCAATAAATTGCAATCGTCCTTGTTTATTCTCTCCCTTTGTGTTTCTGGAGGGATGTATGTGTGCAATATCTCTCCCCAACCCCCTCCATTTCCCCTCTCTCTCCATACAACACACCGTCACACACAAGCATGCGCACATACAAACACACACACGTGTCCCCGCCTGCTCTCTGCTCCACCTCAGGGCTAATCTCATTGTTGCTGGCCGTGGCTGTGTTGCCGTCTGATGTTTTGCCTCTAATTGATCCTCTGACTGGCTTTAATCTCATCTAATCTGTGCCGCCGCACTGCTCTCTCCACCATCAGCCAGCCAGCAGGCACACACACGCACTTCCTCTCTGTGTGTTTCACGCAAGTGCGAGTGCATACGATCTCACACACACACACACAACCACAGTCATTGTCAGCCTGATAGCATCCTCACACACAGATAAATATCCACATTTGGACAGGAAAGCACAATCGCGCAGAAAGATCTGATGACACAAAATGTTCCGTTTCTGTATTTAAACTGACGTTCACAACCGAACGTATGTTATTTTGGTATGTTTAATTACTGATACAGATTAAGGTAAAAGTTCAATTTAGATTCATGAGGTATGCAGAAACACATTTCCCCCAAAATTTTACATGATTTCATTGGATGATCTGGTCCGGCAGGATGTGTGCTCGCCTAAAGGCTGGCTTTATCAGTCAGGAAAGAAAAATGAAGGTTGTCATCATGGTTTGAAGTGCAATGCTGCTTGCAGCGGTCTCGTTTTTTTTGCCCCAAAAAAGCAGTATTTTCTTTGACTGCTGTCCACAGTACTGTATATATATTTTTTTATCTGTTTTCAAGAACAGTGCTTTGCTTCCAGTTCACTCTGAGACCTAACGGATGCATGTGCCAAATCCAGACAAAGTCCTATACATGCAAAGAGTAACTAAAAGGTTGATGATCGTTCCTGTTCTGTGTACTGTTTTGCTCCTTAAATTCAGCAAAATCCAGTATTCATAATCTATTGCGGTCTGAAAAATTCAAAACTCACTGTGTATAAGTACACGTGTCTTTGTAAACCTCACTGTCTGGCTTTTGGCCTTATCAGTAAACATGCCAGTTATCCTCTTCATTAACTTTAAAGTGGAGGAAACAAGTAATCAACAAATAATCATGGAACCAAACCATCTGAGAACTATTGTGTGGAAGCATTTTGGATTTAAAACCACGGATGTCAAAAAAACCTCAATAGAAGCGTGAGTGTAAAAACAGACATTCGGTACAGCCCTACTGTTTGCTGCCTGCTGGTTAACACGACAAAAAATCTGAAGTCACCTGTGGAGTTGTCACTCAGTGAGACAGCGGAGGCAACACGAACAAACTAAACAATCCTGCAATGTATTTTACCATCGGGCCATATGCGCCTTGTTTTTTCATACATGAAATATCCTCCTCTGAAGCACAAAGGGCTCTTCCTCCAGTCCGAACCGTCTTCAGATTCAGCTCAAAATGTTGCCATAAAATTGAACTATGAATGCAATATAGCTTTTTCCCTCCTCGCTCCCTCCCTCACACGCTCGTAATGCACACACTTACACAAACAAAGACACACCATGCACACACACACACACACTTTCAATCGCACTTCCACTCCATCAGGGGCAGGCCCGGCATTGTATCTCAACAACAACCAACCCCCTCCCCCCACTCCTTCTCTAATAGCGTATCAGGTTGCCCCACTCCCCCGGCC